AATGCAAAGTCGACGTCAAAAACGTAATGTGTAGCGATGGTTTCAAATAATAACCTCATTACTCCTTATATTAATGGGATGAAATTAACTGTCGTTTAGTAATGTGTAATGGCCATTTGCAGGAAGGTACCTGACGAACTTACCGGAGAGCATAACACAGTCAGCACCATCGAGAACGGCATTAGCGACATCACTGGACTCGGCACGAGTGGCACGCGGCTTGTAGGTCATCGACTCAAGCATCTGTGTGGCACAGATGACTGGCTTGCCGACAAGGTTGCACCTCGAAATTGCCATCTTCTGCGCGAGGAAGACCTTCTCCGGAGGGATTTCTATGCCCAAGTCTCCACGAGCCACCATTACGCCATCAGCGGCCTGGACGATCTCATCGAAACTAGGTTGCAATATTAGGAAATTAGAAATTAGAAATGGGATGTCAAATCGCCCTAAGTACCAAAAATGATAACTGATAACGTTGGTAATCCATGATTATCACCATTCTGTGACTAGATAATGAGCTGAGCTGCTAAGCTATCAGCAGCAGGAATTATTAACTATTTAGCAAGAATTAAACACGGCAAGATTTGCATTTCCCTGTGCCAACGGGATTGAATAATAAGCATAGAAAAGCTAGTGGCGTCTGCTTGGTGGTGCGATTGCATACCGTCAATATCATCAAACCACAGTCGTGAAAGAAACCTACTTTTTCACACCTTGGTGGTTCTCTATCTTGGCGATGATCTTGATGTGAGATCCCTTCTCGCCAAGGAACTCACGAATTTCCTGCACACCAGTTCGGTTGCGGATGAAGGAGGCGAAAATAATGTCCAACTGGAAGGAGGAAAGGCAAATAAATCTTCAGGTACAAAATGCTTAGGTATGCATGTAGGAAAGACTGAAAATAGATTTTATGCTTGGTGCAAACATCACCTCACAATAGCTCACGTGAATTTGTGAGCTAACTGACATTGGGCAGTAAATAATTTCTGAGTTCTCGAAGCAGTCTCAGGTGAAGCATGACCATTGCATAATCGAAAAGGTTTCACTTCTAGAAGACCTCGACGCACAGGAGTTTTTAGGCCTCTCAATTAAAGGATTCGGGTAAATTTTCACGAGCTAAACCTAACTGGGTTCAAAAAGTAGTCATATGCGAAAGAC